GAATACCTCCTTATTCTCTTGAGCTCCTTTGTGCCTGGTGACTCCCCTGGCAGGGCTCCCGTCCTCATCCTCCTGGATTGCAGCTGGGGTCTCCACTCACTGAATTTTCACAAGCCCTCGGGAAATTCTTAGCCCCAGTCCCCAAAGTTTAAGACTGATTGTCTTTAAGCCTTCAAATGGGCAAGAAGATTGAGTAAACTTTCATTTCTATCATGTGAAATTTCTTCATAAGTATATTAACTAATCAGTAAATCTTTTTCTTTGAAATTTACAGAAATATTCATTGCTGCCTTACTTGATTTTAGTATTGAAACAGTTCCTTCTGCAGAGGGACCTGAATGAAGTTTTTACAGGTGGAATTAGCTCATACAGCCTCATTTTAATGGCCATTAGCTTTCTGCAGGTACGTATGCACTCTGTCCCAGAACAGTCGTGTGCAGGGATGTGTGGGTGCTTTGCATGCTCCCTGGCTGCTGCGTGGGCCCAGCAGTCCTTGCCCTCCCTTCACTATTCTAACTCACCATTAGGTTGACTCCTTTATTTTTCTAATAAAACCTGCTTCTGGTCAGTAGTCCCAGCAGCTCTTACTTCTGCCATGCCCAGGGCCTTCTGATGCCTGCCTCTGGGCTTCCACTGCTGCCGTCTCCACATCCCCTGCCAGGCCCATGGCCCAGAGCCTGTCCTGCTTCCACACCTGAATTCGTTTCATGACCAGTTGAGGGGAGGTGGCCAGCCTGGCACTGGGCAGGCTGGTATTGTGGAAATACACAAATTAAGTCCTCACAAACCAAAATTCCTCTTAGCCCTAAAGGTACTTATTGGCTTGAGGAGATCTGTCTCCTGTGGATCTCTGTTATAAATATTTGTAATCATTGTACTTCTGTCAGGACTATTTTCTAGGTTGGTGCTCTGTGTGGATGGCAATGCTCCACGTTCGCACAGCCCCATGAGATACAGCCACACAGGCTACTGTGGACTTGGATGTGGCTGGTGAGATTAACAAACTGAATTTTTTTTTTTTTTTTTGAGACAGAGTGTCACTGTGTCACCCCAGTAGAGTGCTGTGGCATCACAGCTCATAGCAACCTCACTCTTGGGTTTAAGTGATTCTCTTGCGTCAGCCTCCCAAGTAGCTGGGACTACAGGCAGCTGCCACAACACCCAGCTATTATTGGTTGCAGTTGGCCTTGTTTAACAGGCTTGGGACAGCCTGGATCCCACCAGCCCCAACTGAGCTTAGGGGCGCCGAGCCAACAAACTGAATTTCTAATTAATTTGTTTTAATTTTCTTACCAAGAAATAAGCACATGTGGGCAGTGCAGGTCTGGACAGCTCAGAATTGTGTCTTAGATCAGTGACACTTCAAGACTGCAGTGGACCATGGCTTAGATTTAGAATAACTCTGTTGCCTGCTTGAAGAAAGTGTGGCACTGAACAGAGGCTGACACTAATCTGTATGACAAGCAGAATGTAAATTTCCTCTAAATATTATGATACAGTACTAATTACACAGTTAATCATTTCGCATTCTGGTTTTATGAAGGCACTGTTCTACTAGTTAGTCTAATACTGCCCCCTGTTGGTTGTATTTTAGAATAATTATGATGAATTTTTATTTTTAATTTTTGTTATTGCTTCAGATTAATTTGAAGGTACAAAGAATTAGGTTCGAATGTTTGCATTTGTTACATAGACATCCTCTTATAATTGTGTCCTACCCCCAAGATGTGTGCCGTACGCTCTAACATAGTGCCCATTAAGTGGGAGCATACCCTTTCCCCTCCTATCTCTCTCTCCCTGCTTCTGCCTTCCCCCACCTTGAATTGAGTTTTTCTCTCAAGTGGGTATGTATTAAATCATCTGCTGGTTTCATGTTAGAATTGAGTACATTGGATTCTTGCTGCTTCATTCCTATGATACTTTATTAAGAAGAATGTGCTCCAACTCTATCTAGGTTAGTACAAGAGATGTAAAGTCTCCATCTTTTTAATGGCTGAATAGTACTCCATGGTATACACGTAGCACAGCTTCTAATCCATTCCTGGGTTGGTGGGCATTTAGGTTGTTTGCACATTTTGGTGATTATAATTTGAAGTGCAGTAAACAGTCTAGTGCAAATGTCCTTATGATAAAATGATTTTTTTCTGCTGTGTAGATGCCTAGTAATGGGATTGCAGGGTCAAATGGGATGTCTCATTTGAGTTCCTTGAGGATTCTCCATACTTCTTCTGAAGAGATTGTATTAGTTTGAAGTGACTAGCATATTTAAAATTATATCCTTCATCCAGATGACTCAGTTGTGCAGAATGTGGTCATCTTACTCACTACTATTTGATGACTGTGGTCGATCAGATGTCTGTGCTTGTAGGAAGTTGCTGTGTATATTGCCAAGGTCAAAAAGCATAAGAGGTTTCATGTTAGGAATTTCTTTTTGTTGAACACTCCTTCCTGACAGGGACTCTCTGGGCTCTATTGGTGCCTCTGCTGCCCCTGCTGCTTCCTCCTGCTTCCTCCTTCTGGGTACGGGAGCTGCCCAGCGGGTCCTAAGAAGGCTCTGGCAGCAGGTCTCCCTCGTGCTGGCTGTGCTGGTAACGGCATGGATCTGTACCAATTGTGGATGCATTGCCTTTACAGTTGCATCCAAGAATTGATGCCCGGAGAGCTGATGAAAACCTTGGAATGCTTCTCGTAGAATTTTTTGAACTCTATGGAAGAAATTTTAATTACTTGAAAACTGGTATTAGAATAAAAGAAGGAGGTGCCTATATCGCCAAAGAAGAGATCATGAAAGCCATGACCAGCGGGTACCGCCCATCGATGCTGTGCATTGAGGACCCCCTGCTGCCTGGTAAGGGCATGGCTCACGCTGGCAACTGGGGGGCTGTCGGGCCCTGAGCACCCAGGGCAGTTTTGTTTGCTTTTGAAGCAGGTCCCTCCTTCACTAGGAGAGTTAATAGTGATACTTTCAGAATTCCTTGTTTTGTGCTTCTACTTGACTTATTATCTTCTAAACTGTTTACGTTCTGTGGTCAGCCAGAATTAAGATCAAAAATATTTTATATTTACCATAAACTATTCTCTTCCCCAAATTAAGGCTGCTGTGATGTCCTCCCATTAGATACGAGTTCTTCCAGTTTGTCCTGTGCACGTGTTAACTTTTATTATTGCCATTGCACCAGTTAAATGCCATCCCACTGCACAGACAGATTTACCACTTGGCTTTTGGCATGACGCTGTATCCTAGACCCTTTATAACGTGTGTCAGTCATGTTCTGTTGTAAGGATTGTCACATGAAGAGTCTGAGTCTGCGATTCGGTTTCCCAGTTTTATTCCCTTTGGTGAATTTGTGGCTGCTCATATCCCCATACCTTTGGTGATTAAGTCTTTCTTAATCTCTGCCAATCTGATAAAAGCTTGTGCTACCAATTTTCATTTAATTTACATTTCTTAAATGTTTAGTGGGGTTAAAAACGTTACTATAGGTCAGGCCCACAAATATTCACTGGGCATGTGCTAGGCGACGCCCCGCTTTTACTGTGAAGATAGTCTGTAGTGGGCAGAGGACAGAGCAGGTGAGGGGGGACCCCAGCCCCAGGCATGTCTTGTCACCCTGCACCTCTCTCCTGTGCACTCCACGTGCTGCCCGCAGCCTGCTTGCCGTCCTCCTGGGGGAAAGCCCGTGTGTGCTAGGGAAGCCTTTGGGGCCGCACTCCCCGACTTAGGTTCTAGCTCGTCTTTTGCACTTTATTTGGTATCTTGTATTTCATGGTTATTTTTGTTCTGGGGCTTCTAAGATAGAGAATTTTATTTCCTAAAAATCATTTGTAAGAAAATGAACTCTTCTGTTTTGTTGCTGTTGTTTTTAAATGGCATCATTTATGCTGTGGTTTAAGCAGCATTCCCAGCACCTTCATGGGGCTGCAGTGTGTCATCCACAGCGGTCTGTCTCAGATCAGTCGGGTAGGACTTTACGGTTTCTTCAAGCGTCTGGTTAAATGTCCTTGAAAAACAAAGACTCATATTATTGGTGGGTTAGATTAGTCTGGAAAAGATAAAATTCCAATGCTTAGAGTATACTTCGTTCAAAGAATCCATATTTAACCTGAATTGTGAATAATGAGCCATATGCAAATTGAAATTCAAAACAGTGATTTTCTGACGTCCTTTAGACTGGCTGACCTGGGGACTTCTGTGGTGGACAGTGATTTTCTGAGGTCCTTTAGACTGGCTGACCTGGGGACTTCTGTGGTGGACAGTGATTTTCTGAGGTCCTTTAGACTGGCTGACCTGGGGACTCTGTGATGGACAGTGATTTTTCTGAGGTCCTTTAGACTGGCTGACCTGGGGACTCTGTGATGGACAGTGATTTTTCTGAGGTCCTTTAGACTGGCTGACCTGGGGACTTCTGTGGTAGACAGTGATTTTCTGAGGTCCTTTAGACGGGCTGATCTGGGGACTTCTGTGATGGACAGTGATTTTCTGAGGTCCTTTAGACTGGCTGACCTGGGGACTTCTGTGGTGGACAGTGATTTTCTGAGGTCCTTTAGACGGGCTGACCTGGAGACTCTGTGATGGACAGTGATTTTTTGAGGTCCTTTAGACTGGCTGACCTGGAGACTCTGTGGTGGACAGTGATTTTCTGAGGTCCTTTAGACCAGCTCACCTGGAGACTTCAGTGGTGGCTTCACTTGATCTGCCATTCATCCAGTGGTCGTATCTGAAATGTTCCAATCTGAAGGATCAGCTCCCTGTAGGCTGTGTTAGTGTTCATTGACTAGTGATTGAAATTAATATCTGTTACTGCCATCTTATTGATTAAAGGACATTCCATAGCATGACCAGATTTGCAGCTTGGCTGTTGGCATGACACTGTGTTCTAGACCCTTCTATGTGTGTTGGTCACATTCTGTCCCTGGCCCAAGGCTGGATCCAGGGTGAACTAGTCCCTGCATCTGCTGCTGTCAGGTTGCTGTCATGACCCGTAATTTTGGGGTCATCCATCACAGTAGGGCGGTGCTGGTGGTCTGTGTGAATGTCTTGGCTTTCTCGTGTTTCTTTACCATCTGGGGAATTGACAGACTTTCTCATGAACTGGCACTCCCTCTGTGGATGACTCCTCGGTCTGTGGAGGTAGCCCCTGGCTGCATGTAAGTCGGCGATGCTGACTGGACCCCTTGGCCTTGCACACTGTTGGCAGTGCCTGGTGAGTAATTGTCCTTAGAGGTGTCAGTTTCCACATGTGCCATCTGAGAGCTTCATTCAGCTCTGCTGATGAGAGCCTGCCTCAAAGTAGCTTTATGAGAAGATCAGAAATGTGTGTGGTTGGTGCAGTCTCCCTGGGCTGCTGACAGCTGGCTGTCTCTACTGCAGGGAATGATGTGGGCCGGAGCTCCTATGGGGCCATGCAGGTAAAGCAAGTTTTTGACTATGCCTACATCGTCCTCAGCCATGCCGTGTCTCCGCTCGCCAGGTCCTATCCAAACAGAGACTCCGAGAGGTAAGTGTCTGTGTGTTGGGCCCTTGTCACTGTGGGTGGTGTTACATCTCCACTGTGTCATCACTGCACTGTTGACTGGGGGCTTCATTGCATTACCATGTTCTACAAGAAGTTAACATGTTGGTAAAAGAAGACCTTTGGGGAATTCAGAATGGCTGTATTTGATTTATCTGTGGTTGAAAGTTGAAAATTTCTTATTTGGGGAGTCAGTATTTTCTTTGGGGTATTTTATTTGGGGGGAAGTGATTCCCAGCTTGTAAAACTCTGGGACTTGATGCTTTTCTCCAGGTAGCCTTTAAAAATGTGGGCTTCCAGCTTCTAAGTGAGCTTGGATGTGTGTGCCCAGGCCCCACTCCTCATGTTACAGTTTGGGCAATTCTGCAATGTATGCTTTACTTGGTAGCCAGAAATGTTTACTACTGGCTTCAGTGATGAGGGTGGGAGGAGAGGTGGGAGGAGAAAGGAGGGAATGCCCAGTAAAAAACCACAGGTCATAGACTGGACATAAGATAACCCAATCTGAACGATCACCCCTGGGAGAAGCAGAACTCAGGAGCATCACTTTTTAGTGCTTCAGAATGAGAGGGTGGTGCATGAAGGATGCAGACTTCACTGGGGAAACAAGCGTCCTGGCTGCCTGCTGCTTTTCCAGCACTCTGTGTGCTCAGTAAGCACAAACAAGTCATTTTACCTCTCTGGGCCTCAACTGTTTCATCTGTAAGGTGGGAATAATGCTGCCTTCTTCTTTACAGTCTTAGTAGATTCTTCATGTGATTTGTTGAGAAGGTACATGTTACAGAAAATGAGCAGCACTAGTCGTTTCACAACTATCTTTTACTCTGTCCCTGTAACTGTTAAACAATTAAGTAAAATGTGTAAATTAAAAAAAAAAAAGGGAAAAAGAAAGGAGGGATGAGGTTCTGAGAGTAGTAACAGGAAGGGCGTCATCCCTGCTATTCCTGAGCAGGAGATAGAGCAGATGGGGTTTGAAGCCTGGCACAGCAGCCTCCCCACGCACTAGTGGAGGTCGAGCTTGGCGTGGGTTCCGTGGACTCTGTCCACTTGGTGTTCTGAGGTGGTGCTTGGGGGCTTCTTGGTACCATATCTGCATTCTCTCCTGTGCAGTGGGAAGTAGAAATGTCAGGACTTTATGACCCTCGTGGGTGGGAAGGATGCACTCTCCCACTCAAGGACTAGACTGGAGCAATCTTCTGCAGGTGGCTGTAGGTTGAAGGGCTTCTGTACATACCGTGGTTTCAGGGTGCACTTGTGCTTACGTGAGAAGTCATGGAGACTTGGCGAAGTTTTAGCTCTTTTCCTATCTTTTATTTAGAGGACGTATTGTCACGAGTATCAGGCAGCTACTCAAGGGTTGTCAGCTCCCTGGTACCTGCTGTCCTGTGTTAATGTCCCACAATGTCCCTTTGCAGCACTTTAGGAAGGATCGTCAAGGTGACTCAGGAAGTGATTGACTACCGGCAGTGGATCAAGGAGAAGTGGGGCAGCAAGATCCACCCGTCCCCAGGGCTCGGTGAGAGACCGACTCACTCCTGCTCTCGGAAAAGTAGCTTTGTCTCTTAATGGCGAGTTGAGCAAACTAAGGAACTAGTCTAGGCCGGTGCTGTCCTCTAGAAATGTAATACACACCATGCACCACGTGTGGAATTTCAAAGTGCAAAAACGAACAGATGAAATTAGTATTAATATATTGTATCCAACCCAATTAAAAATATTAACATTTAAACATGTACTCAACGTAAAAAATTATTAAGATATTTCATAGCTTTTTTTTGTAACTAAGCCTTTGAAGCACATCCGAATTAGGGTGCTAAGTTTTCATTGGAAATACTTGATCTGTGTTTAGATTTTATAAACCTAATGGTTGAAAATGATTTACACACTCAGGTTTTCCAAATATGTTTAAATGTCTTCCGATAATTAACTGAAAAAGTTAAATTAAAATGTAAGGAAATTCAGTGTTGGACGTGTCAATCACGAGAGCAGCATTTCAGGCGTGGTGGTGCCCATGGCTGGTGGATGGCCCAGCTCTGCTCGGCCTACAGGGCCTAACTGCTGTTTCCCTCCATAGACAACAGACTCAAGATAAAAGAGCGGATAGCCACGTGCAACGGGGAACAGACCCCAAGCCGAGAGCCTGAGTCGCCCTACGGCCAGCGCCTGACCTTGTCCCTCTCCAGTCCCCAGCTGCTCTCTTCAGGCTCCTCTGCTTCCTCTGTGTCATCACTTTCGGGAAGTGACGTTGTGAGTACCCCTTGGCCCTCCTCCCTCCACCGTCTCCATGGTTTGTGTTCCTGGTAAACACCTATAGCAGGGAGTTTAAAATCCATCCATCTTCCCCTCACTTTTGATCACATTTCGTGCCTGTCTGTGGGGGGTGGGGTGGAAACCCTGAAGTCTACACTGAGTGCTCCCCGTTGGGAACTTGAAGAACCTTTGCTGCTCATGAAACCTGTTGAAAGCAGTTTAACTACAGTGAAGTTTTTTGAACAGTTTTTAAAAAACCTGTTTAGAGATAAAATTTAAGTCCAAATTTCTCATCTATATTCCCTTTAATATTCTTTCTTAGTTGTGAAATTACCTGGAGGAAGTCTGAATAGACCCCGAGCACCTGTGGTTCAGAAGTTGCCCTGTTTAATAATCTTCTGTAGCTCATCTTCACGCAGGCTTTCTCCTCTGACTTTGAATAAGCAGTGCACCCTTGTGATACTGCTGTCCTTGTCATTTCTTGTATGAATTCAAGGATTCAGACACACCGCCCTGCACAACGCCCAGTGTTTACCAGTTCAGTCTGCAAGCACCAACCCCTCTGATGGCTGGCTTGCCCACTGCCTTGCCTGTGCCCAGCGGCAAGCCCCAGTCCACAACATCCCGAACGCTGATCATGACAACAAACAATCAGGTATGGGGCCCTGAAGGCCTTCCTGGTGACGGCCCCAGGGGGCAGCTTATGGGCTGTAAAATGCGCTAGAGGAGACTGATGATAATTTGAAATTATAAAAAGACATTTTTGAGTCTTTGGTGGTTTAGTAATTTCTGTCTTGTTTCAGGAAAGTCTCTTGATCTGTTTTTGTGGATTGATAGAACGTAATTCCCGTCATGCTACAAAGATGGTCTTTGACACTGCCGACACTGGAGTGACCATGTGCAGGGTCAGCAGTGGGGATGCTCTTTGGGTTCTCAAGTACCCACTTGCCTCTGACAGGCCACGTTGACTGTATTTCTGCACATTACCTCGGTGGCCAGCATGAGGCTACTATCCTGGGTCATCTTGGGGACGCTGATGTCCTCCATTCAGCCTGTGCCTCGGCAGCGGTGAACACTTGTTCCTGCATCCCTCTCACAATCTCAAAGAGTTGAAGTTTATGTTCTAATATGAACTTAGGCTTTTTCCATGTTATTAATTAGGCATTATTTTTTTTCCCGTTAGAATATGCTGTTTTTTTAAATTGAGGTGAAGTTAGAAGTCTAAAAGAGAATTTTATAAATATAATATTTTTATCTACTTTCCAATTGTACATCAGATGAATTGTGTAGGTATAAAACTCAACACATTAATTTACTCCAGAGTAGAGCTATTTGCTCAAATGTGGATATAATTAGGTATAAAGTGATAGAGGTACATGTAAAACATATCTGACTCACTCCTTGGAGTTTTGTGGTCTGCTCTGGGGAGGACACTCTCCAGGATACCCCTGAGCCCGTGAGGAACGCTGGAGTGCCTGATGTGGCACTCACAACCATCCTCCATGGCTCAGCTGGAAGTGGCACAGAGCTTGCAAGGCCTTGCCTGCCACGTGGATGGAGAGTTCCCAGGCAGTTAGTTGTGGTGCTGTTGTTGGAGCGAATCCTGCTGCAGACAGCTGGTTGCCTTTCTGCAGTTGTCACATTGGCCGAGGCATCTGCACAAGAGAGCTGCAGAGTCACACTGGGGCTGTGTGTGTGCTGTGGCCTGGAGACTGGGGGACTGTGGGTCTGGAGAGACTAAGAGGTATCAGGCCAGCTTGCCAGTTAGTTATGTTTATGTCCTCGTTATATGGTAACAGAGGCTGAAGTAGTGAAGTCGTTACAGTGTTTTTTCCAGTGGAATAATTAAGTAAAATCCCATTTTTAAATGTCCTACACGTTGTGCTGAGGTCACCCACTGGGGCAGGGCCACTGAGTCCAGTCGTGGTGAAACCAGTGACCATCAGAGTTGGTGGGCATTCATCTGTCAGAGAGCCCAGGGGTGGAGCTTGCTTTCCTGGTGACCAGTCCCTGGGGGAGTGAGCACATTCCTTTGAGGAGAGACTGTGGGTGTGGTGTGGGGCCCTGCCCCTACCAGAGAGGCACACTGGGCCTGGGCCCCGGGTGGAGATCCTCCACCTGCTCTTAGGAGAGTGTCGCACAGTCCTGCATGTGCTTTGCAGCCCCCAAACCATGCGTGGGGGTCTCAGCCCTGTCCACTCTCCTCAGGGGTTGTATTCGCTTTCCATCAGCCTTGGGGTGCATGCAGAGGATACAGGATGGGACTAGGGCAACTGCCACAAGTCTGAGGAGGGGTCTTACCCCCTCTGCTATAGATAGCGGGTGGTCCAGAGGCGGAAGTGTCCCAGGAACTGGAGAGAAGTCCTGGAAAGAACTGCCAGCCATCCCCACACCCCACGGGTTTTTTTTTTTTTTTAGAGACAGAGACTTACTTTATCGCCCTTGGTAGAGTGCCGTGGTGTCATAGCTCACAGCAACCTCCAGCTCTTGGGGTTAGGTGATTCTCTTGCCTCAGCCTCCCAAGTAGGTGGGACTACAGGCACCCACCACAACACCTGGCTATTTTTTTATTGTTCTTGCAGTTTGGCTGGGGCCAGGTTTGAACCGGCCACCCTCGGTATTTGGGGCTGGTGCCCTTCTCACTGAGCCACAGGCACTGCCCTGATCCCAGTGTTCTTCATGGCATTGGAGTGGGGGGGTCACTACGGGGCCCTTCTCAGATGTCCATGGGACAGTTACTCTGATGACTTATTCTTTTTTGTATAGTTGTTTGGTCATCACAGAAAGTCACTGGGCATGGTTTATGTCATCCTTGGTGTTTCAGGGTGTTTTCTAGGTCAAAACCAAATACCCTTGGGTTCTAGTAAGACAGGAACTGCCTTTTCAAGCCCTGGCGCAGACCGCCATCAGGGTAGCCTCCTGGTGCTTGCCTTAGCAGTGGGTGGTCTCACTTCTGCTGGTCTGGTACCTACAGACATCTCTTGTTTTGCTCCAGACCAGGTTCACTATACCTCCACCGACCCTCGGAGTTGCCCCTGTTCCTTGCAGACAGACGGGTGTGGAAGGAACTGCATCCTTGAAAGCCGTCCACCACATGTCTTCTCCGGCCCTTCCCTCAGCGTCCCCCAACCCGCTATCAAGCCCTCACCTGTATCATAAGGTGGGTTGCATTTGTGGCCACTGCTTGGCCAAGGCCACCAAGCAGAGGCAGTGCTGTGTGTAGAGGCAGTGCTGTGTGTGGCCTCCGGGGGGAATTCACAGAGATCATTTGAAAGGCAAATGATCTGGACGTTTGGCTTCGTGTTTGCTTTTCTTTTTTAACAAAACTTTAAAAATGTTAAATTATTTTAAATTGCAACATAGCTTAGTTGCTTGCTGTAAGCATCTCTGTCAATTGCACCGAACTAGTCAGCATAAAACTGACGTTTGAGATAAGTCAGGTTCAAAATGAAAATTTTTATTTCCCTACTTGTTTGTTAAATTCATTTATAGGCCAAATACTGTGGTTTTCAAGAAGATGACAATAAAACCAACAAACCTTGCCACATGTTGCTGGAGTCCTGGGGGGTGAGGGGGGAATCCAAGGAGGTGGGTGGGCAGAGGCCCGCATGTGCCTGCTGGGCCCGCATGTGCCTGCTGGGCCCCGGAATGTTCCACCCCTCCCTTCATGGTTTCTCTTAAGTCCACTCAATATGTTAGAAATTATAACTGAAACTGAGAAGGCGGGTCGCTGGTAAGTCCCTGTGTTCCTGAGGAGCCTGAATGGGAAGACTGAGGCCGCAGTCCTCATGTGCCTCCTGCGCTTGGTGTGCTACGAGCGTCCACACCTCTGCTCCACTTGGGACCTCTCCCTCATTTCAGCTACTTGCCAGTTAACTTTTCCTCCTGAGGCTTGTTCTTTGGCCCTATGTCATTCATTCCTGATGATTATTTTTACTTAAGAGTTAAGTAACAGAGCCTTCCCTCTTGGACTGGCCCCTCCCTGTGGCAGGCGGAGTCCCCTGGGGTTGCCCTCAAGCTGTTGCCACCCGGGACGGGGTGAGGGACAGCCTGGCAGGAGGGCAGCCCTCCTGATGTGCACTGTGGTTCTCCTTGCTCAGCCTCTGCTGTTGTCCTGCCGTGAGATCTTCCTGAGGCCTGCTCGCATTTTCTCTTAGCCTGCTTCACACGGGAACCTCGGTGCGCAGGGGATATGCTCTGGGGTGACCCCACACACACTGCGGCAGGCACAGATGCAGGCCTGGGCACATCTGATCACGTGTGAGGTGCCAGAGGTTATAGTCAGGGGAAGAAAACAAAACAGGAGGGCAAGTGGGGTGAGTTAGGAGTGAGATTGCATGAGCTTGTGAGGTTTGATCCTGGCCCAAAGTTCTTACCTTGAGAGGGTCACTGAGCAGGAAGAATGCTTTTTGTCTCGAATGTAAGTCCAATGCGGCTTGTGACATGTGAGTGCTGTGCCTGCGGTTCGTGTGCTGGTTCCAATGTCTCTGTCCCTCTTTCTGTCTCCAGCAGCACAATGGCATGAAACTGTCCATGAAGGGCTCTCACGGCCACACCCAGGGTGGCAGCTACAGCTCCGTGGGCAGCGGGGGTGTGCGGCCTCCCGTGGGCAACCGTGGACATCACCAATATAACCGCACTGGCTGGAGGAGGAAAAAACACACACACACGCGGGACAGCCTGCCCGTGAGTCTCAGCAGATAATGACTCCTGGCTGCTCTGGCCTCCCCGACCCCTTCCACAGACTGCCACTGCCGCGGGCGCCGGCGGGGAGCCAAGACCAGCACCCTGCACATCAGCCGGGCAGCGGCCCCGCCGTGCGTGGATCACTCTGCATGTCTCTCTGTGTGGTGGTCACGTCCATCTAAAGAACAGCGCGTCGTGCTCATCTGTGAAGCCTTATTCAACGTGGACCTTGTTTTCTGCCTTCCCAGGATCCCTCATTCAGTGCCGAGGCAGGTCAGGCTCCGGAGCTGCGGGACGGGACGTGTGCTCGCAGTTCCTTAGCGGCCATGGCTATTCCGTTGCGGTTTTGTGTTTTGTTTCCTGTCTGTCAAAGCAGCAGAGGAGACTAGACCCCGGGGCGTCTTCCCTCCATGGACAGGCCTGGGAGGTCATTGTTTTACTGCCCTCATGTTGTGTTTGAAATTTCAGAACTGTTTTTCTATGTAAATATTGAAAACTTATGATTTGTGCAATAACTCAGATATTTTTTATTTAATTTCATATTTTCACATAAGTTATATTTAAGGGAGGAGGGAATTTTTTTAAACAAGCTTAGATCCTTTCCCGAGTTGCATTTTCTAAGTTGGGTTCATCGTGTCGGCTGGTTGTCTGAGGAGCATCGTTACAAACACCACGGGAGGGGGTCGGGGGTTTATTTTTATGTCTTTTCTTTTGGTCAGATGTGAGTGAAGGAGCTGAGTGGCCCTGCAGTGCCCTCTGGGCTCTGCTCTGAAGCCTCTGGACAGTCCACTGGTGGCCCTGACTTTGGGCCCCAGGCTGTCATCTTGCTCTGACTGCTGAGTTTTAATGTTTTTGTTTTTGGTTCTTTTAAACTAGACAACAAATCCAGCATTTGAAGTGCCAGAAGAATAACTTTCTAAAGGGAGAAGAGGTTGTCACATTATAAAATCTTAACAAAAATGTGAACTTGGAAATGCTTCGGTTTTCGTAACATAGCCTGTAATGATGGGTCTGGTGAGTATCATTACGGACCATGGTACCCAGTTTTAGGAATGTGGAGAAAGGAATTCTGTTGATTCCATTGGGAATCTGTATAGCAGTATGCATTCGTTCTGTTAAGAGCAAACATAGGAGAAGTCCTTCAGCTGCTCAGTGTGCCGCGGGGAGTATTTTTAATGTACTGCAGGAGAGCACAGCCCAGCGTGGGGGCCGGAGCGGCTGGTGCCCGACGTCGGAAGCATACAGGTATACTATGCAAGTGTATTCTGCCACAACAACCACTGTCTTTGTTACCTTTTTTTGAACAAGAGTATATCCATCCTGCCTAACCCTGAGTTTTCCGAGCACCACAGTTGTCCTGGGAGTTGGTTGCATCTTATAGGCCATCTGACTTCCTGTTTTTAAAATTGGGGGTTCTGGTCCTGCTAAACACTGTAGGTAGGTTGGTCTTTGAAGTCCACTAGTGGAGAACGTTGAGACGAGAAACTTGTTCCCATGACGCCTGTTGGCTGTGCAGCAGTGGGGAGTTCCAGATTGATGTCTGATGTGCTGGACACCCAGCAAGGACAAGCTTGAAGTTGTCTGCGGTCGGCCCTTTTGAAGCGGGGCTGCCCACACTGTCGTCGGGAGCTGCCGGCTGCCACTGCGGGTTCTCTCGGAGGCATTCCAGGATAGAGTAGCACATTGTGTCTGCAGTTCTTAATGATTGAAAGTTATCAAAAATATTTAAAAATATTTAAATTGTGAACCTATTGATAAAGAATATTTATAAAAACTGATCTGTAGGCCTGTACTAATCTCTACGCATTAGCAATATTGACTGTAAACCTACATTAAGGAAACCACTCCAGGGACAGCGGGAGTGTCCTGTGGGGTGTGCATTTTAAAGCTCGATTTGTAGACGCAGGTACCATGTTTCATTAACGTCATGGCGAACCAAATGAATTGGCCTGGCTACCACTGTGGTCTTGTGCTACAGGTTCAACAAAAGATATCATGTCAATTGTTTTTGTGTGGACAACAATGTGGAAGCTAAAATTCACATATTTTTATGTAAAGTTTTTTTATTTGATTTTTAATAAACTTTCGAAACCAGTTGTGTGTGTGTTTTCACATACATGCTTTTCTTGGAAGGGGAAGAGTGACTTCTACATTTTTAGTTTTAGGTCTAAAAAACGGCAAATAACGGCAAATTTTTTAGTCACTTATTACCTGGGTCTAAATAGGGTTCAAAAAAAGTTAACGCCAGTTGTATGCTGTGAGTGGGGGATGTGAGTTCTTTATCATTGATTCATTAAATTGAGCTGAAGTTGCAGGCTTGTGTGAGCTATGGAGAACACCAGAAACTCTGCTCTCATTTTCTTTTTTCTTTTCTTTTGAGACAGAGTATCAATTTGTCACCCTTAGTAGAGTGCTAGGGCATCATAGCTCACAGCAACCTTCCAACTCTTGGCTTAAGCTATTCCCTTGCTTTAGCTTCCCAAGTAGCTGGGACTACAGGTACCCGCCATAATGCCTGGCTATTTTTCTGTTGCAGTTGTCATTGGTATTTAGCAGGCTTGGGCCGGGCTTGAACCCACCAGCTTCGGTGTTTGTGGCCAGCGCCGTAACCACTATGCTGTGGGTGCCGAGCCTGCTCTCACTTTCTGAGGCCCACGAGGACTCAGTAAAGCCACTTGAGTGACACTGTTCCTGTGGGATTTCTGATTAACTGATTCATGATACTATGTGCTTAGATCACCTAGGTCAACATTATATCACTTAAAAACTCATTATAAGCTACCAGTCATGTAGCTTAAAATGTAACAAGTTTGGGATTGCTAAGGAAATGGACAAGAATTTTTATAAACCAAGTGACAGAACCACTGTATCCTGGGCTGCTCAGTCCTCTGTGTTCTAGAACCATCAATTCTGCCTTTCCTGTTGTGAGAGTAGGCTTTGTGGGTGAGACGGTAGCCACGGCAGCCTGCTGTGACTTCTAAGTCCAGAACCCAGTACCAGAGCAGGGTAGAGGGGTAGAGGCTGCTGGGAGGATCTATAGCTGGAGAGTGTTTTTAAGTCACTGTGGAGGGAGGCAGGGCTGGCAAGACCCTGGGTGGGTGCCTCCTTCTGTAGAAAGGGCTGTCCCAGGCCATCTGGAAGCCTTGGGGCAAATGAGGAACAGAACCTTGAGAGTGGGAGGTAGAGTCTGAGCTGGAGCTGGATGGAAGTGGGTTCTGTCTGCCCAGCAGGCTGGGGAGAGGGTGTGTTGAGGTCTGGCCGAGGACAGTGAGGTCCTCTGTCCCATCAGGGCCATGCCCTCCCTGGGCCCACTGACCGTGTTGCTTGGCATGGCCACTGATGGGATCTCCACATGGTCTCGGAACCTCATCAGCTCCTGATCCTGGGCTAGCAGGTAAACTTCACAACCAGGTTCCAGAATTTTCCTTTTGAGTCACTACATGGTCCCAGCAGCCACCTTTCATCCCTGAGGAAGGTACTTAGTGATATGTACCTCTGACCCTAGTGCTCTGTCATGCAGAGGGAGTGGTGATGTTTGTGATTTAGACACCTGGTCTAGGATGTGGTTTTTCTTAATCAGATCTCTATGTGGTGACCTAACCAAAGTGCTGGGAACTGTGTGCTGGTGACCCTCGCATGGTCTGACCTGCCTTAGGTGACCAAAAGGCAGCTGATGTTGAATAGATCATGGCTGACGTTAAACAGAGTCACACGTGTGCACAGGTGTCCCACCCTGAGGCTAATTCTCGTAGCTTAAATGTTTCCTCTTTGGTATCTCCAGGACCCATGGGAGGGGCATCTTTAGGGGGGACTGGGTTGGGGCAGCACCTCAGGCAAGCCGGGCAATGGCATTCTGTGACCCGGGTCTAGAGGGGTGAATTCCAGGGGAGCTTCAGGAATGGTGATGGGGTTGTAGATGAAGGGTATTGTGCACGGGTCACCCTGGCAGCCTGAGTCTTGTCCTCTGTGAAGCCACTTGGCCATGGGTGGGGTTACCAGGGGTTCCTTTCAGCAAGAATGGGGGTGCTGCCCTCCCCAGAACCTCTGAGAGGGAATGTTTGGAGCTCTGGCAGTGCCCAAGACCAGAATAAAGTGACAGTGGGGCCACGCAGGCTCTGGGGAGGAGCGTGCCACTTGGTTCCCTCCATGTCTCATCACGTGCTGAGTTTTTATGGTGATGGATGCTGCTGGCTGTGGATGAACCCGAGCCACCTCCACAGATGTGAAGCCTCCTTCAACCTGTCAGAACATTTCCAAGTTGGAGAGAGTCTGAGGGACCAGCCAGAGCAGCACAGTGTGGGTGTGCAGGATGAGAAAGGGAAGTGGCTTCCCGGGGCAGGCAGCACGGAGCCCAGCCAAGGAGACAGAACCCAGGGTCCACCTCCTTCCCTCTCCTCACCAGCTGCCTGGGGCCCCTTCTCTTTTTCTGTTGGTAGCTGGAGCCTGTGCTGTGAGCTGACAGTGCTGTGGGCCCACCCACTTGTGTGAGCCTGTGAGTGGGGCCTGCCGCTGCTGTGCTGGGATCCACTCTGGGGTCCCGCCTGGGCGGTCATGCTGAGCAGGTGCTGATGAAGCCACTGGGGCTCACAAAATGGTTATCACAGACTGTTACTTGCCCTCCCCGCCCCCCGCTGTGGTAGTTCTCCAGCCTGCTTGGGCCCCCACTGTATTGTCTTCCTATCTCTCCCCTGACTCCATTCCCTTCCTTACCTTGCTCTGTCACCCTCTTTCCACTGACCTCACTGTCCTTCAGTTGCACCTGCCCCAGAACCCCCTGTGGCTTTTGTAGGCCACTGTAGCCCTGCCCCAGGACCAGGAGTGCTTCAGGGTCCAGGCAGGATAGTGTGGTGAGGAAACTGAGGCAGAGAGCGGTTGAGTAAGGTCACCAGATAGGTAGGGGGGAGGCGGGAGCCCAGCTCCCCAGGCCTCCATGCTCCCAGGCAGCTCTGCCCAGTTCCTTTTCCTTCCCCAGGACTTGGAGATCTGCACTCAGTCCCTACTGCTGCTCCCCTGTCCTC